CCAAATATCCTTTTCTGTCGATGAGTATGCAGTGTGAGTAGCCCAGCTACATCTACAATGGAGGGTAATTTGAACTCTGAATCCTCCTGTCTCCACCTCCCCAGGGCTAGCATTCCAGGAACCATCCACCATCACCCTCAGTTTTAGGCATGCTGGGGCTCAGACCTATGTCTTCTTTGCACCCACTGTGCAAATCCTTGGCCTTCAGTTTCTCCACCTTTAAAAAATAAACTTATCACACACACACACACACACACACACACACACACACACACACACGCCTTTGCCATAGCCCTCTGATTTCCAGAGTGAGTCTGGGAGCCAGGCTGTTCTGTAGTTTTCCTCTGCCAACTTAAAACTGTCCTTTTAGCCACTCACTCTGTGCAGAGGACTCATCAATGCGTGGTGGGAGGACCAGAAAAACAAGGTTTCTGTCCTTGACTTTATATTCTGATTACAAACCATGGTGCTCTCCCTTCAACACCACAAATAAACAAGACTTCAGTAGGCAACTTTACATGTCAGAAAGTGTTGATAGTGAGTGTTCTGGTGTCTGGGGCAGGTAGCCAGCATGGCAGAACTCTCTGCAAAGGTGAAATTAAAACCTCGAATGACCCCTAACACTAATAATAATACTCTTCTCTGCTTGCTCACAGGAGCCTAACTTGACTGTCCTCAGGGAGGCCCCAGCCAGCAGTGGAAGGACAGATGCTAGGACTTGCAGCCAAGCATGGGGCAGAGTTTGGGGGAGGGGGAAGTCCTGCGGAAGTGCTGGGGGAAAGATGGAAGGACCTGGAGGGGACAGGAACCTCACAGGAAGACCAAGAAGAGTCTCCTAGGGGCTTTCAGAGACTGAGACATCAGCTAAGGAGCATGTGTGATTGGGACCTAGGCCCCCTTCACACATGTAGCACAAGGAAATGGGCAGCTTGGTCTTCTTATGGAATGCCTGGTGAGCGGATGGGGGGGTGGGCTGTTTCTAATATGGACTGCTATTGTCTGCTTTTGGATCACTTCCTCCTGACAGAGCTGCCTTACCTGGCCTCAGGGGATGAAGATAAGCTTAGACCTGATGTGACTTGAAAATTGGGGAAGGTTGATACAGGGAAGAGGGGAATCTCCTTTTCTGGGGGAAAGGGAGAGGGGAAGAGGAGAAGGCAAAGACTGGAAGGAGAGGAGGGAGGGGCACCCTTGGTACATCCCAAGTAAATAAAAATGAAAATAAAAATAAGTAAATAAACCACCTTGAATGAAAGCAAGAACCTCAGTTTCCAGGGCACTTTGGTGGTTCCTCCCATGAGTACAAATCTTCCTACCAACCTTCCGAGGCAGGGGTGGGTCACAGAGAATTTTCCTTCGAAATTAACGGACACAGAGTCTGAGGTCCAAAGAGGTCAAATGATTCCCCCAAGGTCCCCCGGATACGAAGAAATCAATCATCAGAACATATCTCCTGGCTGCAGGTGCTAATAAGCTTTCTGGAGGTATGGATCTTCCTCATCAGATCATGGGACATTCAGGGTTGACCACGCAGGGTCAACCCCTCACTCTCAGGATAAACACTGGAAATTTAGAGGAACCTGCAGCTGGGAACTCTGAAGTCAGGAAAGCCTCCAAGTTTCCAAGAGGCTGTGAGATCTAATTTTACTGGACTTTCCTACTCCTAAGATGAACCTGTATCCAGGAATGACTCAGTCTCCTTTAAGATGCTGAGGGGTGAAAATGCCATGGAAAGGTGTCTCCCAGAAGCCCTGTAGATATCCCAGAAGCCCGGTAGACAGTGTTATTTCAGTAATGAGTTTCCAAACTCCTATTTTGTCTAAGGTGTTGCTATGTCAGGAGTTTATGGAAGCCAAGTTCTGTTACTAGTGTGCTTATTTAAGACATATCTAATACCAGCACACACCTTTAATCCTAGCACTCAGGAGGCAGGATCTCTGTGAGTTTGAGGTCAGCCTCATCTACAAATCAAGTTCCAGGACAGCCAGGACTGCTATACAGAAAAGCCCTGTCTCAAAAACAAGCAAACTAAACCCAAACAGAACAACAACCAAAACATACATATCCATATACACAAGTGGAGAAGACTTTCCCCCTTCCCATAGTAATTGCAAACAAGCTCTGTACTGGAGGTAAAGAAAGGGTGGATAAAGAGGTATGTATAAATATAAAAGTAACAAAGGATGCTGGGTGTATGATTAACTCAAATCAGCAAAATGAAAGAGGGGTCACACACCTGATGCCCGGGCAGCAAACAAACATTTTCATTGGTTCATTTTGATGACACTCCTTTTTCTGGTAACAAAGTTAGAAATTAGCCACCAAAGCCAGGTCAGCCAAGGTGAAAAATATCTCTAATGACTGAACCACAAATGGTACCTATTTGATTTTCAACAATTCTAACTTTTTTAATAAGAATTCTACCTGTGCAATCTGTGAAAGAAGCAAAACGTGGCTCTCCTTGTGATGGGGGCAATTCAAAGATGCATTTCTCCTGTATGAGGAACAGCTCAGCCTCCATCCCCGGTTCACTCCTGGGGAGCATAAATAAACTATAAGAAGCAAGCTGGTCCCCAAGGAACTTCAGGCTGCCGGTTGAAGGGAATGAAATAGCAAACACATGTCTGTGTACACATGGCCACACCCGAAAAGCCAAGATCTGTTACTAGTGTGCGTATGCCCTGCATATGCATCCGAATATACACGAATGTACGTGTGCTGTGTGCATGTTTTGGTCATAGTGATTGCAAACAGAACATCTGCACCAGAGGCAAGGAAAGGGTGGGAGAAACATAAATAAATATAAAAGCAGCACAAGATGTTTGCAGTATAAATAAGTCACAACTCATCTCTGAAATGTGCCTCTTATTTGGGACTGAGACATAGCTCGCAGAAACCAAGAACGGCGGCGTGACATCAGAATCTAGTTTTTGTGCCTGTTCCAGCTGCAGGGGACTAAACTGTTCTCTCTCCAGAATACTACCACAGTTCTCAGGAGGTCTTCAGAGGGCTTGGGGGGGGGGGGCGCTCCAGGCCCTCATGCCTTCTCACACCGGGTTTGTAAGTCCAGGTCCAGGGGATCCAAGACCTTCTTGGCCTCTTCAGGCACCAGGAACATACACAGTACACTGATATACATGCATCCATACAGGTTTAAAAAAAAATCAAGATAAAAAAGCTCAGAAATACACAAAATGCTCATCTTAACCAATTCCACTCGAATGTGTGAGCTACTTCTCTGTCAGCCTCATTGAGAGTGTGCAGTTGGAACTTGGATGGGAACATCTATCCAAGTAGAAGAAAGGCTATGCAAATTGCTTGGAGCGGACTTCACGGTGAAATAAAAATGTACCAAAATCAGTGTGTCTTATTTTCTATAAACGCTTCCTGTTTTTATTAAGACAGCATAGATACATAACACACCATATTGTGGTTCCTAAATTGCAGCCACGGTACTTATGGATAGCCAATAAATTATTTCACACATAAGACAGATATAAATGTGCCATTCAAGTTCAGTTAATAGAGAGGGCATCATGCAGGCAACATTACACATGAGGAAAAACAGCACTCCCTCGATGGCATCGATGATTTTCTTTTCTAAAGTATGAAAACTTATCCTTTTCCAACTTCCAAAAGATGGAATAAGACATTTGTTTTCATGCAAAATACACTTAGATCCATGTCTTTCCTTTGAAAAGGCAACTAAGCCAAGTGCACTGAACACACAAATCGTTCCATTAGTCGCAAAATCACGTTGGTGTGTACTTTTTCCCCCATTGGCTGTGGACGTTTCAATGACTCCACGGCAGCAGAAAGTTAAACTCAAAATATGATAAACGTACATTATCTTGATAGTCAGAGACACTTTTCAGTTTATCTTTGGGCATTGTCATTTACGTTTTTATATAGTTGGAAGTTATTGTTTCACAGTATAAAATCTTGAGTGAATTGCTAACACACCTTGATTTCTCTGCTTACTGTTTTGAAATGCATTTGGGATCAGAGGTAAGAGAGAAACGACACGGCTCAAAACAACTTTTGAAGATCCTCATGTGCAAAACTTTCAGATTTATATATTCAAAAAATAAGTTATTTTTAAGTGAAATGGGGGAGGGTTCACAGGAAAGGGGGAAACCTATAGCTTATACTCTGAATAAATAGCTTTTCAGTGTCTTCCAGGTGGGGGCAACAGTCAGTCAGTTTCCAGAGAAGGGAGGTCAGGCTCTTTAAGCTCCCTGAGTCGAGTCCGGTTACAGAAGAAGAAAATGACTTCCTGGCAGTAACACTGCGACTAAAACAACCACAAGCCTCCAGGAGATGAGACTTCTGGGCTCGGCTCCAGCCACCGGGCGTAAAGCAGCGGATCGCCAGCGAGCGCGCGCCGGCTTGGGAAAGAACAGAGCCAGCCCGGGGCGCGCACGCGCGCTGAGCACCTGTCCGGCTCCTCGCTGACCGGCTGCTCCGGCTAAGTCCAACGTGATGCTCATCTCTCGGCGCCGGGCCCCGGACTAGCCATCAGTTTCTGCCCTCCCGGTATCTCCCAGGAAGATCGTCTGCGTTTACATCTTATTCATTCTTTTTGTTTGTTTGTTTGTTTGTTTGTTTGTTTAGGCAAATGTTCACAAGTGTTGCGGGCGAGCACGCGCGCCCAAGTTCCAGGCGCCAGGAATCTGCTTTCCGCACATCCTCGGGCTCTGGGGAAGGGACAGCCACACTCTCCGATCAGGATGGGGGTGGCGCGTAAGGCAGAGGTCTGGATAAAAGGGGACACCCCCCCCAACACACACACAACCTCAGCATCCCTTTCTCTTCTGTCTCCCTCTCTCGCCCAAGGTTAAGGAAGTAAGGAACGGAAAGATCAAGAGGAGGAGAACCGAGCCACCCCCCTCCCCCAAGTGACTCAGTGGTCCGTGGTCACAGACGGAGCGGGGAGAAACCCCCAGTGCACTGAGTCCAAGGCGGGGTGCCCCGCGGCCTCTCAGGTGTGTGCGTGCCCGTTAAGTGTCGCCCCTCCTGGAGCCGCCGGGGGCTGCAGCCGCCCGCGCCCTCGAGCCACTCCCGCCGCCGCTTCCCGCGGAGCCCGCGGAGCCCGCGGCCGCCCCCTCGGGCCGATACTTGAGCCAACAGATGATCCAGGTGACCACCACGGAGAAGAGCGCCAGGATGCTAGCCACCGACAGGCAGATGGGTCCCACCGGAGAGGGCGAAGGCGAGCCAGTGGCTGGGGCGGGGCCGGGGACCGAACCGCTGCCCGGGGTCCCCCCACCGCCGCCGCCGCCACCGCCGCCACCGCCGCCACCGTAGTGGTTGACGAAGATGAGGCCGGTGAACAGGAGCACCACCATGGAGAGGAACGAGAAGACCACGCACACGCAGCCGGCGGTGAGAGCCGCGCGTTTGCAGTTCTGACAGCTCTCGTAGGCGCCCGGGGCGCGGAGACCCGGGCGTCCCCGAGCTCCGGGGGCGGCGTCCTCAGCGGGGGGTGGCGCCGGCGGCTCCGGCCGCGGGGCGGGGGCTGGCGGCGGGGAGGCGGCGGCGGCGGTGGGCGCGGGGCGGCGGGAGGCCAGCGGCGGGAGGCGGTCCTGGGGGAGGGGGTCGTGCGCGGCGCGCAGGGCCAGCGGGAAGGCCTCGGCGAGCTTGGTGTTGTTGGGCAGGCCGTGCACGCGGCTGTCCGGCAGCGGCGTGCGGTGGCGGCACACCGGGCACGCGATCGCGCCGGGCGGCCCGTGCCAGGGCGGAGGGCGAGGCGCGCGCTCGGGGGCCGAGCCGGAGGAGGAGGCGGCGGCGGCGGCGGCGCGGAGCTGCAGCTGGCTCAGGCACTCCTGGCAGAAGGTGTGCAGGCAGGCCAGCAGCTTGGGGGCGCGCCGGTCCGCGTCGAAGTAGTTGTAGCAGATTTTGCACTCGTAGTCCTCGAGGGGAGGGGGGAGGCCAGGGACGGTCGCCGCGGGGTCCCGGGCTCCCGCGGTGTCCCCGTCGTCGCCGTCGCGACCTCTCGCAGCCGCAGTGCCCCCAGCTCCCTCTCGGCTCCCGGGGCTGCTGCTCCTGCTCTGGGTGCTGCCGCCGCTGTCGTTCGCGGGAGCTGCCATGGCACCGTCCGCCCCTCATGGGGGGCTGGGTGAGGCACCTTCCTCTCTCCCCCTGAGCTGCCTCCCGGGCTCAGGGCGGGGAGGAGGCGCTTCTGCCTCCCCCCTCCGACTGCTGTCGCCTGGCGGGGGAAGTAACCGCTGGCTGCTGCGCCCCCGCCCGGCCCTCCGGTCCACCCACCCCACCTCACCCCACCCCAGTGCGGATGCTCTAGTCCTTCCAGGACCGGGGGCGCCCTACTGAGGTACCCCTAGTGCTCTTGACCTAGGTCTACTGACAAATTTCTGTACTGGTTTATGTTGGACTTAAAATTGGGGTTCAGGTGGGCTGGGTGCGTTTGGGGGTGCAGTTCCTTAAGGCTGATCCGTTTTGCCAGTACACACAGCCGCTACAGATGCTGTGCTGCTGGGACCCGCTTTTTCCTTTTTTTTTCCACTTCCTCCGCATCCCTCCTCCCACCCCTCCTTTGTATCTGTTTTATCCTTCCCTGCCTGGGGTTAGGTCCCGGGAGAAGTCTCCTCTCCCCTTACCAACCAGAGCTCACCGTGATGTAATGCGGGACCCGCGCAGGGAGGGGAAGCGGCGGCCTCGGCAGCCTGGCAGAGGCGGTTCCTTCCCAGGCTGAAAATCGTGATCTCATGTCTCGGTCCAAGGACGAAAGCCAATAATCCCCAAGCCATTTACGCTTTGAGCTTTTATTAGCAGGGACCGGGCGGCGGGGCTGTGCCCATCTCGCAGTGGAAGCGGAGAAGGGCATTTTTTCCCCTTCGCCATTTGGAGGAAATTTGGGAACCGGATAATACCCTTTTCTTCCTCGGAAATGTTGCTTCCTGAGTATAAGGAGAGAAGACAGATTGGGAACAGAGTCCTGCTGTTTTCCTGGCAACGACCACTGTAGATGCAGCTGTTTTCTAGTACCAGGCGGCTACAGAGGCAGAGGAGAAGGAAGTTGGCAAGAAAGTTCACACAAGGAAAAGTCCAGTTTAAAGCCTGCAGCTAGCCTCACCCACCCCCTTCCTCCAAAGCTCCACTTTAACTTCAGTTCATTCAGATACCGAGAACACAAAACTCTCCGCTTCGTGTGTGGGGTAGGCGCCGAGTTCATGAAAAACGCTAAGGTTTATGGTTTATAGAATTCCAAAGATACAAGTCAGCAAGATGTAGCTTCTGCAGTAAGATACAGGAGCCTTTGGGTACAGCCTGCACGGTGATATTCAGACATCCGCTGTCTCTCCAGATGCCACGCTCCTCGCCCCGTGAAAAGAAAAAAAAAAAAAAAAATGGCCACCCAGCTCCACACTCAGCAAAGAAAGGGGAGAAAGATAGCTTTGTAAGATCATCATCATCATCATCATCATCATCATCATCATCATCATCATTTATTACAGGTGGTAGGAACACTGCATTTTCTGTCCTGGAGTCTCTGAAGATCTCAAGGTGCCTCCAGGAATAGCTGCCGAAATGATGACTGGGAAGCACTTTAAAGAAAGAGGACAGAAAGAAAGCAGTGAGGAGCCAGCAAGCGCTGGCTGGGCATGCAGCTCAGTTGGGAGAGTGCTGGTGCACAACCCTGAATGCCATCCTGAGCGCTAACATCAAGTGGGCACAGCAGCATAATGCAACCACTTGGGAGGCGGAGGCAGGAGGTTAGAAATTCAAAGCATCCTCAAATACTTACCAAGCTCCAGACCAGCCTGGGCTACATGAGACCCTGTCTCCAAACAAAAACCAAAAATGAGCCTCTGGAGGGAAGTTCTAAATGACTATGACATTTCTGGAGCATTTGGAAATAAGTATAATTTTACTCAATGTGAACAGTGAATTACTATGCCTTAAACTTAAGGCCTTAAGTTAAAACTTGTTTTAAAACGTTAACTATCTAGTTTCAGGCTTAATAATTATCCTCTTGGGGGCAATTTGGTTTTTAAAAATGTCTCACTCGGTGATGGGAACAATATTGAGAGGGCTGGTCAATGGGATAACAAAAAGGCTACCCTCTGGCCTTGAAAGGTTGCAGACTGACTCCAAGCTAATGGGAGCTTTAAGTTTCTTTTCTCATGTGCCCACTTTCAGCACGTGTCCCCCACAGTTTGTAACTGGGTCCTTTAAGCTCTGATCAGGTGCTCTCTGCTCACAGTGCTGACTAGAGAGAGTGTCTTAGAAAGAGAGGTGCACAGAAGCAAGAGGGTTAAGGTGCATCTCTGGAGCTCTTCTCACCCACCCCAGCTCCACACCAAAGGTGCCCAAAAGGTCATGTAAGAGCTCTAGAGACTTGTGTGTTGGGACATACATTGCGTGTGTTTAGACAAAGCACATAAGCTTTTGCAGCCGTAGCCTGTCATTTATTTTCATACCTACTGACATGCTGTTCTGTGCATGGCCTATGTTAAATGGCGTCTTTGGCCTCTCTACCCATTTGAAGTCAATAGTGAAGTGTCCTAGTTGTGACAATCAAAACCATCCCCCCCCCCAGAAGACAAAAATCATCCCTGGATGTGGACCTTGGGACTTACACAAAGACCACAGATTTGCCTTAAGTGAGACCTGAAGCAGATCTTCCAGGGTAAGAGAACAGCATTGTGACCAAGTTTCTTGTATTAGCTCATGTTAGTTTAGGTCCCAAAGTATGGAACAATCTTTGAAAGACGCTGGTGTAACTTTGGCCCATGCTTTCTGCAATTAAAGGACTTTGTACAACGACAGCATTTACTGTGTTTGGATAGGTCTTTGGTTTTTGTTTTGGGCAGACTGTATCCCACATTATAACTCTGGCTGACCTGGAACTCACTGCTTCCAACAGCAAGCCTCCAAAGTATTAGAACCACAGGCAGAAGCCACCACCCTAGTTTGAGGGGAACACGACATCTCAATTATTTTTATATCTAAGGGACAAATGTTCATTCTTAGGACTCAAAAAGGCGTTGTGTAGGGATTTCCTTGGAGCAGTGAGGAGGGTCCATGACATCTGGAGAGTAGGCCGTAGCCACCTGACCTAAGGGACTATAAGGCCCAGTGCCAGCCATATTGCTTGCAGTTATAAACATAGAAGCATGATCATGCTGAGAAACTGGAGTTTCCCTGGGAAGAAAAATGTGTTAAATTGGATCTTAAGTTGACAACAAGTAGCTCAATATGTATGCTAAATAGGATGTGAATTGGCTTTACCAGAATCCTGCTCATATCTTGAACATATCAGATACTATTATTTACTGGATTATTTGGTTTTTGAGAACCTGGATAAATGGGAAACAGCCATGCTCCCAGAAAATCTCCCGGTTATGATCGGACCCTCAATTGACAACCTAACTAATCTCGTTTTATAAGCCTCTGTCTTACAATAGTGGTTCTCAACTTGTGGGCCAAAACCCCTTTTGGGAGTCATGTATCAGATATCCTGCATATCATTTATTTACATTACAATTCATAGCAGTAGCAAAATTACAGTTATGAAGAAGCAGCGAAACAGTTTTATGGTTGGGGGTCACTACAACATGAGGAACTGTGATAAAGGGTCACAGCTTTCGGAAGACTGAGACACTGGGTTGGGTTGGGAGATGTGTGTGCCTCGGCAGTTCTGAGCTCAGATTCTAAGTCTGTTCCTCACCCTTCGTGTACTTGCAGGCTACCTTTTCTGTGCCTTAGTTTCCCAAACTAACATTGGGATAAACATAGTTACTGCATAATATTGCACATTGTAAGAACTGGATACATAATATAAAACAACATGCAATGTAATACGTACATATCTTTTATGGAATGTAAAACAATAGGCTCCAGCCACTGGTAGCACTCATTATCATTTATGTTGGAGATTCCTGTAGCTCATCTACAGATCCCCACAGCTGCCTGAGGCAGAGGCCTCAGAGTGTCCTTGGGAAGCAGCCCAAGGTGGAACAGCCAAAAGCAACGGGGTGTTTTTCATCCAGTTCTGACAATCAAAGATGAGGCCCAGGTGGTACCCCAGGCACAGGACCGGCCTCTCCTATCAAGTGAGCCTTGCGCCACAGATCTGCCAGCTCTAATAAATGAACCCCTTCATAAAACCTCAGGGCCAAGGGAAATCTCACTGTTCATATTGGAGGGGTAGATGTCAAGGCAGATAATGCTGCTCAAAGGCAAGTATTAAATCATTCCATCAAATAGTTGACATTTTAAAATAGCAACTGGGTCGATTAAATTCAACATTTGCAGAGGTCCTGTTTCAGAAGACATTGATACTGATGAGCGTGCCTGGCCTCCAGGAACCAGGAATTCAATGGAAGAGTCCAAGAAAACAGGAGAGACAACTGTGCTGTGAATATCCTGAGACAGAAAAAGGTCACTGAGGACAAACCAAGGAAATTTAAAGTGTCCTCTTAATGAGCAATAACATACCAGTACTGGGTCCTTGGTTATAATATAGAATGTTAATTTGTATTAATGTAAGGTATAAATTAACACAAGAAACAAGGTGTGGTGATTTTGACAACACTGGGAATCTTTGCAAGTTTCTAAATCTTTGCAAGTAAATCTAAAACTATCCTAAAACTGTAAGTTTAATTTTCATTGTATATATTTCTGGAATTGAATTGTGTTTGTTAGCTTTGCATTACTGTAACAAAACTCGTGAGATAATTAAATTATAAAGGAGAAAGGTTTGTCTTGGTTTCAGTGTAGGAAAGTTTGAGTTAGTTGGCCCCATTGCTTTTGAGACTATGTTGAGCAGCATATTGTGACTCAGTAACTTTTCACCTTGTGGTAGCCAGGAAGCAAAAAGGAAGAACAGGATGGGCTAGAGCCCTAGTGTTCATCCTCAGAGACCTACTTCCATGACCTGTCTAGAGTACAAGTTCGGGGCTGGAGACATGGCTCAGAGGTTAAGAGCACTGCCTGCTCTTCCAGAGGTCCTGAGTTCAATTCCCAGCAACCACATGGTGGCTCACAACCATCTATAATAAGTTCTGGTGTCTTCTTCTGGCCTGCAGGTGTATACACAGATAAAACATTGTATACATAATAAATA